CCGATCTCGTCAGATCTCAGAAGCTAAGCTGGTTTGAGCCTTGATAGTGCCTGAATAGAATCTACATATAACTTAGGCGGCGAGGCGTAAAAACAGGTTGCCATGAGCAACTACATTGTGGGGACTAAGAGAGTAATGCAGATACATCCATCAATTGTTGTACAATACTTCTGTGATTCCACGTCTACACTGCCCGCCTTCACCACACCCGCATCGACCAGCGTGGTGAAGTACGGTCAAATAACCCCCATGGCCTGCACAGTTGTGGGGAGACCTTCATGCACCAGCGGACCGACAAAAGGCGGGCTGGAAACGGACTCAGGCAGGGACCGGATGTAGCGTCAGAAAGGTTTAGGGCTTTACTGTATATGGTTAGGGTCAGGGAAACAGCGGAGGGTGAAGATTGTAAAGGTCACAGGATATATCTACAGAGGGCGTGTTTAGGATAAGATGAAGGTTAGAGAGCAGCTATTTGGCCTTTTAAGTGTGCAGAGTGAGGGCTGAAGCAGGGATAGGGTGGTTGTGGGATTACAGGGTCAGGAAGGGTTCGAGGGGATGAAGGGTTGTGGATTAACGTCATCAAAGAGAGCGGCCACTTGCCCTCGACATGAATGCCCCTATCTATGCCTGTGGGATCGTCCCAGAATTCCTTTACGTCACGACCATTGACTGTGCACGTGGGGACTAGAAGTTGGGGGTGGGGGGGCATACGCTGCCTCCACAATGCCTACTGGACATCCTGCGAAAAATAACTTTATAGCTCATCAGATTCCTCCAGTATAAAAATCCATTATGATTCAAAAAGCGGGGTGGGGGGGGTGGGCTCAGTGTGTTTGCGGCCCAGACCCACTGCATACCCCCCCCCCCCCCCACCGGAGCCGTGACACGACCCTAGAGCTGAGACGACCGCTGTGAGAACTCGCGGTCTCAACGGCAGTACCCCCATGACGCAAACACTAGAAACCGTACAGTGGCGAACGAAGACGGTGAAGAAGAGGAGGAACTGTTTAACAGAGTTGTTAAAAAAATAGACTTTGGCCCATTTTACCATTTCACTCAACTCTCCCTCGAAATGTGTGAATCTCACTTGTTCTCTCGCTTGTTCTCTCGCTTGTTCTCTCGCCTGTTCTCTCGCCTGTTCACTCGCCTGTTCTCTCGCCTGCTCTCTCGCCTGTTCTCTCGCCTGCTCTCTCGCTTGTTCTCTCGCTTGTTCTCTCGCTTGTTCTCTCGCTTGCTCTCTCGCTTGTTCTCTCGCTTGTTCTCTCGCTTGTTCTCTCGCTTGTTCTCTCGCTTGTTATCTCGCTTGTTCTCTCGCTTGTTCTCTCGCTTGTTCTCTCGCATGTTCTCTCACTTGTTCTCTCACTTGTTATCTCACTTGTTCTCTCACTTGTTCTCTCACTTGTCATCTCACTTGTCATCTCACTTGTTCTCTCACTTGTTCTCTCACTTGTTCTCCCGCTTGTTCTCCCGCTTGTTCTCCCGCTTGTTCTCTCGCTTGTTCTCTCACTTGTTCTCTAACTTGTTCTCTAACTTGTTCTCTAACTTGTTCTCCCACTTGTTCTCTCACTTGTTCTCTCACTTGTTCTCCCGCTTGTTCTCCCGCTTGTTCTCTCACTTGTCATCTCACTTGTTCTCTAACTTGTTCTCTAACTTGTTCTCCCACTTGTTCTCTCACTTGTTCTCCCACTTGTTCTCTCACTTGTTCTCTCACTTGTTCTCTAACTTCTCCCACTTGTTCTCTAACTTGTTCTCCCACTTGTTCTCTCACTTGTTCTCCCACTTGTTCTCTAACTTGTTCTCTCACTTGTTCTCTAACTTCTCCCACTTGTTCTCTAACTTGTTCTCTCACTCGTTCTCTCACTTGTACTCCCACTTGTTCTCTCACTTGCTCCTTCGAGTTCTCAATCTGCGGTTGTTCTTATCTCACGCACGATGGTAGCAGCAGTACGTGCAGGAGCTGGTCTGCTGCTGGCCACGACGAGAGGGCTTCAGGCGAGAGACTGAGGGAGTGTAGTTTTACTGTGCCTCTTCCTCCTCCGTTGAAGGAGCGCAGACCGCAGTGGTTTACTGCATGGGCCGTAGTTTGGGTTGCATGGCTACAATATCACGACTGTGTATAGTTATGGGTGGGAGATGGTAGCCTTCTCACGCTGGCTCCACTTGTAAGGTGTTTTCGCGTTACTTTACACACAAGGAAATCTGAAATTCAGGCGAAGTGGACGTCGTTAACTCGGCCATAAATGTGTCAATGTCAAAGGCAAAACAATGGAATTAGCCAAGCGTCACAATTTGAGACCTCCTGCAAACAAGTCTGGATACTCAGTGAGGCTCTTCTGCGTGGCTACAGCAGCAAGGGCACGATCTCTCAAACATAAACACCGCCAGATTGCGGTGTCTACGGGGAGAGGGTGGAACCGGCGCTTAATAATTATTAATCGAAAATTTAACAAAAAATAAACATAGAAGGGTGCATACCACACACGTGTAACATGCAGAGCAGTGGCTCTACGGTGGCATTTAAGGAGCCCAGAGGCTCTGAACCGGTTTTGACTCATTTGAGTCTCACCAGCAGGGCGTGTGGCCCGTTTAAATAATGCCAACGCTGTGGTTGATGTTGCAGCTAAGACCGGAACGTCTACAACACTGTTTAAAATCCCATCTCGCTATTTTGTCACATCGGTCTATTGATGCTGCTGCTTGTCATAAAATAGTTCCGTTTGCCAAAAATCAGGCCATCGCCTCGATCCCGGGCCGCCTTCAATAACTGCAAGCCCCAAGTTTACATGATGCGGCGCCATGTTAAGGAGCGTTGAGTGACCTGGACTGGCAGGATGCATCGCTTGAAGGGGCCGATGATGTTCGCTGGTCAAGATGTTGACTATCTCGCCCTGTATGCAGGAGGTTCATGGGTTCAACCCCGACCCTGACGCCTGTTTTATATTTGGAGTTTGCGTGTTATACCCGAGGTGGCGTGGATTTGTATTCGGGTTCTCCGGTTTTTCCCTCCACATTTAGAATCGCTCGTGTCGACTAGATTTGGCTGCTATCAGTGTCCACGTGACCAGGCACTTCGTTGAGATAATCGCTTGTGGCTAACCTGAAAGAGAGGAGGCGCCCGAAGGTCACGGGGCCAACCGTGGAAGATGGAGGGACGAAATCGGTTCGAGATGATGGATTGTTGTATTGCAGGACTCCCACGGATGGTTACGACCTTTTGGAAGGCTTCTTCATTCCAACAGCACCACTGATCGTGCTTGATAATGACGATGACGAATGTTGTCACAATTAATCACGGCCGTTGCAAGCCAGCATTTGTAATGCGGATACAATCGCGTCTGTCACCGCACGGTGGAATTTCCTCCACCGATTCCGTGCTGGTAAAAAAAAACATTTCACGCGACGGCTTTACGGAGGCATCCATCCAGCAGTGGATATAACACGGCCGAAGGTGACGACGATGATGATGATGACGACGACGGGCAACAAGAGCCACTCTTCGCAAAACCCGGGGTCGACGTTCAATTTCAGTCGAGCTATATGGTGCAAAGAAGGTGGATGGGTCTCACCTGACGTGTCCGTCACACCGCCCACACCCCTCCCCTCCCCCTCCGTAATCCCCCACCCCCCGACCCCCTCGCCCGTCATCACGGGCGTCGCGAACTCGTGGCCGCAGTGCAAACAGCGGCGGCGATGTCGCGACACGCAGCAGAGACATCAACGAAAGATGAAGACAAATATCACCCCCCACGCCCGCCCCGTGTAGCCTACACGGACCGTTGGGGCAAGTGCTGTTAATGAGAACCTATCTATAAGGGGAGGGGGGTGGCCTGAGTCACGCCCAGCCGCCTTTTTCTCCACCATTGTTGAAGTTTACACACCGGACCAGGTGCTCATTTAAGGCTGAGCCGACCTAGGGGAGGCACCAGGACCGGTTCAGATATTCGCCGCGGATGTTGGCCGCGAACGAAACTCGAGCTCGGGCACGCCGGGTTCGCGGTAGTGGCGGCAGTGCGCTAACCGCTGCGCCACCGCTCCCCACAGAGACACCGACACACACCCATCCGGACACTGTGCAGTGTCAACAGTGCCACGGACGCTCGTTCCACAACTCTCCCCTCGCTGACATCAGCAGGGACGCCGCAACGGAGCCGCGTCCAATCCCGCTGCTGGACGAAGACCTCCACGTGCGCGTCTCGTATCGGTAACACCGGTGGCCGTTTGGCCATACTTCACCACGCTGGGCTGGTCAATGCCCTTTGGTAAATAATGCTGGTACTGTACACTGATAATGCTGCTGTTGGGTGTTTGTTAGTGATCGCCATGGAATCCAAATTAAACGTGGTTACAAATGTATCAAATGTCTCTCTGGCGTTACGCCTGGTCCGAACATTACACGTGGTCTTCAAACGAATACATATCACCGGCTACGACCCTGGTTCCAACACTAAACCTGGTCCTAAACCTAGCAGGTGTCACTGGCGCTTCTAATCCTCGTTCGAACTTCGAATACGAGAAACTGAAGTAGAGTCCCCTTGCCAACCCTCTGTGTAAGTCCATAGGGTCGTTTGACCATACTTCACCTTTGCTGGTCGGTGGGGGTTTGGTGAAGGGTGGGGGTTTGGTGAAGGGTGGGGGTATGGGAAGGACAGGACCCCCTCCCCTCAGATCATCACTCGCCAGCGGTGTTGATCAGGAATCAAACTCAGACAGCCAAGTTGAGTTCAGAGAGTGCACTGCGCTAACCACTGCACCACAGCTCTTGGTCAGAGATCCCTGGTCATTAACCCCCGGTTCTAATTCTAAAACACTGAACCACGATTCCACTCGCCCTATACCCAGAGCTCTTCTAACTCCGGCACTAAGCCCGCTCCTGCCACTGATCCACAGTTGTCTAACGCGGTGCCTGGTACTGCCCCTAAAACCAACACCGGCCCGCGAACGCGTCACCCTTGTTGGTGATGCATTTTAAATGTGATAGCGAAGACACTCACTCTTCTTACCTCTGCGCATCTTCCTAACGGAGAGACGTGACGCACGACAGACAGGCGGGGCAGCTCACGGGCGCGGACGCATCCAGACTCTGCCACTGCGGACTCGAGCTGACGACGGATCCTTGAGAGAACGCCGAGGAGAGACTGGATGTTGTGGACTTGTAGCGGAGCAATGAGCTCATCACGGTCTCCGGTATCTCTCTCTGCCTCTCCCCTACTCTCTCTCTCTCCCCCACCTCTCTCTCCCCTCTGTGCCTCCCCACACGCTCTCCCTTCCTCTCTCCTCGTCACGAGGAGGCGCCCCTCTCTGCTGAGCTCGCTCGGATTGGACGTGCGGCTTAGTGAGGCGAGGAGGAGGAGGGAGGAGGAGGAGCTGTGCTTGTGTTTCATTATTTACAGCAACGTGTTCCAGTTCAGCTCCGTGCCACGGAGTCATGCACACGTCGATCAATGAGCGGGTCACCATCAAGGTCATGATCGTTGTGACCAGCAGCATCATCGTTATCATCATCGTCAAAAAAACCACGTTAACTGTGGCCTTAAAAGAAAAACATAATATGCGACGTTTCGGGCAGTGGCCCTTCTTCGTAGCACATAAAGCACAAGGGATATTACCCAAAATGTAGCCTCTTATATGTTTTCACTTAAAGGTCAGTGTTTTTATTGACGAATGTGTTGAGTTTGTTTCGTTGTTTGTGCTTTGGCACCACTGCCGACGCAGCAGCACCGCAAAATAATTGGCTGAATCGTCATAATAATGATCGTCTACGTCATCATGCACATCATGATTCACGTGAAGACACAGGGGTCATAATCACCGTGGAAATGACCATTTGCAATATCATCTACATGATGATTAAAATCATTGTCCACGTAATCATCACCGTTATTATTCACGGGATCATCAAGCACCATGAAAATTATTTTAAATGTCATCGTCGTCATCCGCGTGATCATGGTGATTATTTTGATTATCATTACGTCATCATTCACATCATCAAACGTCATCATCACAAATCATAATCATCGTCACCATCGATCGTAATTATTAACATCATTCACATCTAATTGTTATCGTCATCATAGCCATCCTCCAACACATCCTCATCACCGAGCGCCATAACTCACATCATCATGACAAGCGCCATCAAGGATCATAATCAAATTCGGTATTGTATGTATGTTGAACTTCTTTCGCGCCGTACGTAGCCAACTGTGTTAATCGGAGGTGCGGGGGAAGGACAAGAAATTGGTTACTTCGCTCAAATTAAATCCATAGTCACCATAAGTGACGATTCTAATTCATATCAGAACGGTGGGATGGGGGCTAAATCTGGGGGGGGGGGCAGCCCCACCCTTTAACCACAACCCCCACCCCCTCCACCCCCTCTGCTCTTCCTGAAACTCGTCACTTTTTCCACTCGCGGTTCAGTAGCTCCGCCATGGCTCGCTCCTGTGATGGACTCGATTCATGATGTGATGGACTCGATCCATATTTGCCGGTGGGTGAATAATTGACTATGACCGCCTGTGCTGCTGCTTCGGGTTATAATTGGATTGGATACTTGCAGCAGAGTACAAGCCACGCGCTCGTCATTTATGGCATTTGCCAAACATCAAAATGGAGCAGGAGCCTCCTGGAAACGAGCCCTTGGGACTCTGAAGACTTTATTGGAATATTTACGATATGCACACTCGCCACAACGCACGTTGATTGTTGTTTTGAATACATGACACAATTACAGTAGATTTGAGCATTTCAGTGAACTGAAACTGTCGATCATAAAATATCCGGGTGACGGCGGCTATGCAGCGAGGGTTGGTGGGTCACGCACCTCCCTGCCCGTGGGTGTCGAGGAGCCGTATGCCCTGGCTCGCCAGGAGCAGACGGTACAACAAAAATGCGGACTCCACCTGTTCTATCTCAATTGGGATAGAGCGTTTCCCCCTCGCACACGTTGGGTATTCTCCGGGTGCTCCGGTTTCCTACCAAATGCATATTCATAAGATTGACACGAAACATCTTAACATTTACAGGACTGCAGAGCTTAGGCAACTATTGTTGCCTTCCAGCTCGTCTGTGGTTCCCCAGCGATTGTGAGATACAAATTTGCATCAACGAAACTTTATATAAAACCAGATATTTGTTTTAAATAATTATTTTATGAGACTCCAAACCGGCTCAGCTGTGAGATGGACAGATGGCAGTACACATTGGCATTCTTGAATCCAGCCGTCGCACTGCGTTATCCTCTTCCATGCACGGGGTTTCAATGGATGCTCCACCTTACTCCAACACGAAGCAACACACTCATGAATGGAATTGGCCAAACAACCCAATGAAAGATACTTTTGAAGAAAGAATCTTGTAATTGTGCAGCGACATCACGGGATGTCACTGTGTGGTGCCGGCCCTAGAGAGGCACGGCGTGCGGTGTCGCGACATCGCGGACACCACGAGGATGTGGGTGCAGTACCGGCCCTGGGTGAGCTGGGTGAGCGCTGATCGATAGCGCTGGGTGGCACCATGCTCGGCGTGCAGTGCCGGCCCCTACAGGATGGGGTGTGGGAGTGCCTGCCATGGAAATGGGGTTACTGTAGGCCGTAGCATTCTGGTTTAATCCGAGGACACGTGACCGGTTAAGTCTACACAGGGGCCCCAAGTGGGGGCTAGGGGTGGTCACGTGTCAGGGTCGAGATCCTGCTCGAGGATTCTGGAAGGTGGTCGTGGCCACGGGCGGAGCCAGCCACACCGCGGAGGATAGAAGCCGGGTCCCCCAGAGGGACCGGCGCTGTTGTTCATCCTGAAGAAACCTTCGTCTACGTTCTACGTCCTACAGTCTCCAACACGTGGACCGGGACCCAAGCTGGGGTCCGGTCTGTTGGAGCTAGTTGCGGTGTAAATAGTGTAGTTAGCCTGGTGGTCACCACCTGGCTAACTACACCAGTCACGTGCTAACTAGTGTAGTTAGCCTGGTGGTCACCACCATAGGTTGTTATTCTAAGGGGCAGTTACCCCGTGTGTTGGTGTTAATAAATGTGTTGCCTCCAAAGAGTACGTTTGCGACTCAGTGGAAGTATTGGATAAAGAGGCATTATTATAACACGTACATAGTCTTCATCCACGCTAGTGAAATATGAATATAGATTAGAAGTTCACTAGTGCCGCAGTTTAGTACCGTATACACGATCATGTTTTTGTACTGTTTGTTGTTGTCACGTTCTTACCCGCCCCTACTGGACATCTGTGAAAAAGAGCTTTATAGCTCATCGGATTCCTCCAGTATAAATATTCTGATAAGGCTTGACGTTTTAGCTCAATGGCCCTTTCAGGAAACTAAAATTGACATAGGACAACCATGTCTGCAGGGACTGCCCCCCCTTAACTTTTAAATGGGGGCAGGAGCAAGCCATATGCCATGCCCTCTCATTGACTAGCTAGCTGGGGCCCCTTGTTGGCTAATTGCCCCCTTAACCTCAAAAAAACATTTCCACACGCCTGTCACATAACGGTACTGGCCACAGCCAGACACATGGGCTGTCTGCCCGGGAGGCAATTAAGGCACCGCTCCGTCCATCAGCGGCTCCCATCCTGACTGACCCCCCCCCCCAACCCTGTCCTACCATCCACCCTCCCTGTCCCCATCTCTCTACAATGGGAATCGACTGCAGCCGATGTCCCGGCCGCTTCATTTATTCATTTCGCCGGCACGCAAGCGATGACACGACGCGGCCGTGGCGAGCGCCGGTCTCCGGTCTCGTCGACGCCCGCAGGGTCGGGCTGCTGCACTTCGCCGATCTCCGCCGAATCAGGACAGCGACTCACTGTCGCCCGTCCAATATCGCGCCCAGGGGGAAGCCAGGGCATTACGTGATGTAACTTATTACCGATTCACAAAGTACATAAAATCCATGGGTGTGGGAGCAAAGCGCGTTGGCTGGGCAGATGCCCATTCAGCTATTACACAGAAAGGGCAGCATGCCAGATGCTGTGCCTCTTAATAGCTGCAACTACTCCAGGAGCTGCGGTCATTTCGCCATCCTTCGTTACCCAAAATGAGCAACAGTTGTTTTTACATCCCATCCAACTATAAATTAATTCCCACATGCCTCCTGTTCAACACCATTGGATGACTCCAGAGTGCGCAGCTGTTAACACCATGATGGGAAAGCCTTCTCTAATTCCTAGACATCAGCGTAATTGCAGATTATGGGACGTAACCTTAGATTGCGTACGTGAGCATTAACGGCTATAATAGTGCGCGCGCTTTGTAGCGAATACGGCAATAATGGCGTGCGCTATGTCGAGTGGCGAAGGGAAACGACCGCGGGTCGTCGGAACGCACGCCCCACGACACGGCAGACCAACGCGATGGTCAAAACGCAATGTTTTATTTACACCCATATCGACTCATCACGAGCCAGCCACTGGACTGTAACTGGAGGCAAGCTGCCGACGGGTACATCGCTCGCGCGTTCCGACCGCGGAGAGGTGGAAAGTCCTGCCTGCGTCCGGGGCAGTCTGTGGTGGTGGCGGGCGGGCGGGGGGGGAGACGGCGGTTTCCTTCGCGAGTTTTTTTTTTCCGCCTATCGTGGCGACCCACGACACGTCGATGGTGCCACGCGGCGGTGGCGATCGCGTCGCGTGGGGCAGGCACCACCACGAATGACCGCTGTTACTTGAGGGACCGGTGGCACGGAGACAGTCGCGCAACGCTTGACACGCGTAATGTGCCCAACACGATCCCGCGGGCAAAGTCAGAGGCGCTCGTGAGCCGCGTTACGGTTACTGCGCGAGCAGTGAAATTATTGCAAAAAAGAAAAATATATAAAATTTACTTTTGGCAATTGATTATAACATGACATTTTTATTCACCAATAGGAGATTAATAAAGTACAAAAATAAAGTTAGCCATAACGCACACGTAAAAAAAAATAAACAACGCAAAACACAAATTACGTTTTAAAAATACAATAGAGCACCCAATATTTGTTCAAACGTATTCACAAAGAAGCACATCGAAATCGCACAGGTAGGAGGATGTGCTTCACACGCCTTCACACGGCGGGCGGCCCACGATTCCTACAGCTCCGGGGTTTCTCCTGCCGATCTTGGCGACAAGACGCCCGCGGCATTAACCGTCAGGCGGCTGACGTGGGGCGCCGTGGCCACCCGTACCGCCCAGCCGCGGGGGTCCTTCAATCTCTGAAGGAGACGCTCCTAAAAGAGAGAATGAGAAAGCGAGAGAGAGACGTTAAAAAAAGAAAACGCACAACGGCTAAAACAAAACAAGAAAACATCAAAGTGGCTCTCCACTCCGCTCAGACCCGCGTAGTGGGAGGGCTCGCAGGGCGCGACGGGGAGCCTTGCCCCGGTGTTTATAAAGGAGGCTCTTAGACGCGGGGCTTATGAATAGAGAGAGCTCCTTGGCAGCTGCAGATATTAAAAAGGTAGCAAAACACCCTCACTGGCAACGAAAGGGGAATGGCAACAACCGCTGACCGCTCGGTCGAACCGAGAGATTCTGCAGCGCCTCTCCCCAGGGAACTCGTGATTGCGTCAGAATTTAGGGTGAACAAATTTCGAACACGTTCTGAAAGAATCGCGAGAAAGTCATAGGACAGTAAAGTACGTGCGGGCTGGAAACAAGGAAGAGTAATAATAGTACGCGCAAAATGTGATTTTCTAGACGAGGCACGACTGTATCCTGGGATGGGTCGTCCCATCGTGCCTTGCGCGGTACGGAGCATCACCACGCTGAATGTGTAATGCACGCAGCCTTGGGTTGGAGCAACTCAAAATACGGGAGGACCGATCTCATGGCCACATAAACCCTGCAGCCACGCGATACTCTGTGTGCACCACAACGACAAGACGTAATAGATTATTGAACTGAACCATGGCCTTCACTTGTGGCAATTCACTGCAGAGTGAGGGGGAGAATCGGCACACGCCTGCTAAACGGGAGTCGGCATTCCCAGCACTCAATGGATGACTCCAGAGAGAAGGACATTTAGACAGTGAGAAAATGCCATAGCATCTCGTTGCAGTGATGCTATTGGAGTAAATGTTGCTCAACCGTCCATTCAGATTAATTAAAAGAGGCTTCCTCTGTTTGATTGAACTCAGGACAACCGTCATGAACATTATTAGTTCGCTTGTTCAGCCAGGAAAGCCTCAGTGGGTTCTTTTCAGGAGGTTCTTTGTGGTAGGCGATGATGTTGCAACATGCAATCCCAATTGAGTGAAGCGCAGGTAACTTTCAGCAATGGGATGTTGGCCAATACCAGTGACGTTGCGTGTTTGTTGCGTGTTTGTTTTAGCTCGTGGAGAAGATTGGATAACCCAGTGGAAACTTACGCACAACAGGGGGAGAATATACACACTTCACACAGAAAGGCACCTGAGTTGGGAATCGAACCCTGGGCCTCCTTGCTGTGGAGGCACTGTGCCGACCTGCCGTCCAATAGAAAACGTCATTGTTCTCATATCAATCGGTCGGCCAGCGACAGCACTCGACTATTTTTGGTTGTACAGAGTCAAGGGCTCGTTTTGCCAGGAACTCGGGGCATGAGCTACATGTGACCTATGCCCATTGGCCTACATATTAAAAAAACCCATGGCAACAAATGTTCAACTTGGTCATCACAACGAGAACAGCGCCGCCCGGCGGACACAGATGGGTATTGCGTCGAATGTTCATGGTGACTGGGCAGTTGGGAGGGCGAAGCTTAAGAGAAAGTATCCGATTACTCATCAGGACTTCCCACGGGCGATGCGTATCGTGACCGACGCACGAGTGGCGATGACTATGAGGTGCCCTGCAGCTGTGCAGGCGACCTGCACCCAACGGAACGCGTCTTGAACAGTCGCCCCTTTATATTCCAGATGACAGAAGTGAATTCCGCATGCGACGGTGATGACGCTGTCCGTGACTGGCTGTCGAAACTCGACAAGCCATTGTAAGACTCATGGATATGCAGTTTTACTGACGAGTGTAGTAAAAACAAAGTGAAAGTTTGACGTGGACACAACGCAGGGGCCAAAGCTTTAAAAAAGGTGATCGAGAGGAGAGGGGGCGACGAGGTGAGGGTGACTGGGTGGGGGGAGCAAACCGTTCAGGGGAGCGTCCGCGCGGGCTGTGCGAGGAGCGGAGAGGAGAGGACGACGATGCGCTCAGCGACGTGGCCAGGCCGTGACGACGCAACTCCTGCACCGCGCGCTCCCTGGGGTGGCGCGAGTGGGCGGGTGGGCGGGTGGGGGCCGCACAAGTTTGAGGTTCAAGTTTAGTGGCGAAACTCTCCTGAGTAAGTGTGGCGCGCCCTCCTAATGGTGCGCATCCCGCGTTCACCAATGCCACTCGGCCGGTGATGTTTTGCAACGCAGCTGCGCATTACTGAGCCATTGACGTTCATCGAAGCCAATGTTTTTATTTTCTTAATTTTTTCTATTAATTTCAGCCCGATTGTGCTAGCGGTGTCACGTCATGAGAAGTAGAGGCCACACAGATCTCTCGTGCAACAGTGCAACCCTTCGTGGAACAAAAGCCCACTGAAGCGGATACCACAGAGCTATCCTGAGATACATCCGAGTTACCTCTGATCTATATAATAGGGGGCAGCACGCTCCCACTCACCCTGCCACCAAAAGTGATGTTCGTCACGTGACATTCAAACTCATATTTAAAATGCTTTAATCACTGTATTTACGGTCCACGTTTGTTTAATGGTTACATAGAAGAAGGAGGACTGACTCCTACTCGCTCCTCTCGCTTGGGTGCCCAATTCAGTTAACCTGGCAGAGGATCTAGGCAAGGAACGGCTTCTGTTCCCCTTTAAACAATCAAGGCATTTAAGAATAACAGGGTGAAAATAAGTTTAAAAAAACGAGGTTCCTAACCAAGATGAGTGTGTTACCTTATCTATGTATAAACATATTTGTAGTGTTCTTACTACACATATCCACGGGAGTTAACACGAATAACAAAACAAATCTCCATCGCCTTGACGACCCATGTGACCCCATCCATTGGTGGCAGGGCAATAACAAATCTATAATTATTTTGTACAAAGTTTCTTCGCTGCGGAGATGCACGCCGATGTACGGAACAACGCGAACCACAAAACGTTGTTGGCGACATCGGCGCGTAAAACTTTAGCTCGGCGTGCGCTCTCAAGGGAGCGACAAAACAACGCTGCGCACGAGCTTCCTTGAATCCGCGTCGCCGCACTGCGGCGTGCCTGGCGCGGTGCTGTGTCGTACCGCCGCATTCACGGGAAGGCAGAACATTTACCGCCCCAAGCGCAGATTTTTCCAAGGCTGCGGTCGCCGCATACAGCCCAGAGCGTCATGTTTTAGGCACTGCAAATCCATGCCACGTGGCGCCCATGTGGATGTCATTTGATAGCTTTAAAAATAATCAAGTCTTCTTCCCAAATACTTATGCTGATTGTGTCATCAGCGTCATGTCACGAGACCGAGAATCTACTTGCATTAGCGCACAGCAGTGTAACCCCCAGTGGTTTGAGAACAGCCCATGGAAGGGGATATCACAGACCCGCTTCTGAGATCCCTTCAAGTGACCTGGTACGCACAGTAAGGGGGCAGCACTTTCCCCCCTGCTCTGCCACCGAGGGTAATGATCGTCGCATGAAATGTCACTACCACGGTGTACCTTGCTGTGTCATGGTATGCTGTTTAGCGCTGCGGTGTGTCATGGTGCGCTGCGGTGCGCTGCACACTGTTCCGCCTACACCACGACGAGCTGTGTAGAGTTGTGCCGGGCCGTGCGGCACTGACGCACCTCTCAAAGCGCTCGGTGGTGAGCTGGCGCTTGGTGAGCTCCAGCTCAGACTCGAGTTGCGTGGCCTTGCTGCGAAGCTGGACCACCTCTCTCGACTGGCTCACCCTGCACACTCAAACACACGGGTCGGCGCAATTATGACGCGGCTTTGCCCCGATGCTGAGAGTAACCGATGCGTGTCTGCGTCGTCAATTTGTGTGCCGCGGTGATTTGGCGAAGGGTGCCTTGCCGCACCGTGCTTTGTTGTGGTGCATTCTGTGGCATCGTGGGGAGAGCCGTGGTGCCGTGCTGCCTTGTGGCGTGCCCCGGCGCGCCGTGGGCATTGCGGCATGCCGGTGCGCTCGTGACGCCACTCGCCACTCACGCTTTGCTGTCGGCGAGCGTGAGCCTCTCCCGCAGGAGGCCGATCTCCGACTCGCGCTCCTGGCTCGACAGGTGGCTGTGGAACTCCTTCTCGCGCCCCGAAGCCAGCAGGGCCTCCAGGCTGCGCACGGCCGCCCGCTCGCTGCCCACCTGCTTGCGCGTCATTTCCACCTCCGTGCGGGCACTCTCCAGCTCCGTGAGAGCCTGCGCCGTGGACCGAACACGCGCAGAGGGGACAGCGTCGGGCAGCGGCGTTTGATTTAAAAGTCAAAGTATTCACTTTCACTTTTAAATTCAGTCGGCAAAATTTCAGCTCCAAGAACTGTCATGCAACTGTTAGGTCATCAGAAGAGATTTCTGAATTTACTCTGCAATCACTCTTTCCTTCCACAGACTGCTCTCTAACAAGAGGCAATGTACGACTCTGCGAGCGCTCCAAATTTATTATTCGTCTCATATAAAACCAGGCCAAAAGATACAATTGAAAAAGGAGGCTACAGAATATGAAATGTAAGCCACATGGCAGCATGGCAAGGCAGCGCAGTGCTCACACCCTCCTGCTCGTGGCCGTACATGTCCACAGCACTGTTCGGATATCTGGCAAAAACGAGGAAGACTTTGCAGACGAGCACTCTCGTCGCCCACCCTCGACTCACCCGTTCGTGATCGACCTTGGCGGCCGTGAGTTGGCGCGACAGCGTCTCCTTGGCCGAGTCGAGCTTCACGCAGAGCTCCCGCACCGAGGCCAGGTCGGCCTGCGCCGCGCCGCGCTCCGCCTGCACCTGCCGCAGCTCGGCCTCGCGCCGCGCCAGCGTCTGCCCCAGCGACGAGGCCTGCGTCTCGTACGCCTGCTGCGCCGCCTCGTGCTGCGCGGGGGCATGGGAAAGAGGTGGGGGAGGGGGGCGGCACCATAATTATATCGTGCGATGGATGGCTACGGTTGCCACTTCCAAGGTCCAAAAAAACGGGACGTGTCTTGGGAATAAGAATATTTCACAATACCGGTGGAAGAGGAGCAACTACATCTAAATATATTGTCTTGAGTGCTGTGTTAGTACGCAACTGACAAAAGTCAGGTGCTTTAACGTCCCCGGATAACTTAGAGAGGCAGCGACCTCAAAAGGACATTGATCCGGGGAAAACCAAAACTGGTGGCAACTCTAGCGACCCGCCCTTGATGCATACAGAACCACACAGTCTCGCATTCGACGCTGGCAGCCGCAAGGACAAGCAGAGACCAAGGAAGAGTCCCTTTCGGTCATGGCCACCGTCAAGAGTGGGTCATCTAGCCTGCTGAATAATTACAGTCAACAAAGATTGCGTTGCAGTACGGATTCAACCAAACCACTCTGCAGCAATGCTGATCCAGTACATCGAATTAACGTCCTCACAATTAAAATTCTAACTTAAAAATTACACGCAATTTAAAGAAATTTGGCAAAAGCCAGGTCGCAAAATCGCCACCTATTGTGAAACTACTGCATGCTACACTCATGTGTGAAATAGCGCCATCTTGAGAGCCTGGCGCTCTAAGGTATAGCACGAATACCAAGAGTCCTAATGAGTCGATTTGATGTGAAGACCGGAACCATCGTATCCGGAATGCGAGCGCGCGTGTGCGTGTGGATGACGTGCGGAGCACATGCGTGCGTGTGGTCCGCGTGCGTGCGTGTATGTGTGCACGTTTGCACGTGCGTGCAGTGTGCGAGCGGATCACGTGCGGACCGCGCGCACCCCACCTCCTGTATCTCGCGCTCGAGGCGCTCGACGTGCTCGCGCAGGTGCCGGCGCTCCGTGTCGGTGGAGAGCAGCTCCAGCCGCACGTTGCTCGTCTGTCCCTCCGCCTCCGTGGCCTTCACCTCCCACGTCTCCGCCTGGTTGCTCGCGCGACGGAACTGCTCCAGCAGCTCGCGGTTCTCGTGTTCCTACGGGCGCGGGGCAGGTGAGACGCGATTACTGCAACGTCGTCAAGGACCGTCTATCCGCTGCTGGATGATGAGATCAGATTCTGTGCGAGGGCGCGACGGATTGTGGCATCGCAGGACTGGGGGGAATTTTAAGAGAATGTGGAGGTCTCCATCCAGCAGTGGACGGACAACACCTAACAATTAACACAATAAAATTAAATGTAACCACAAAAACAGATAATTATCCACCGTGCAGTGTCAGCCCCTTGACCGGCCCTGTGCCGCCCCGGCGAGCGAAGGAATTCGAAGCGGGCGGTGGAGACGCGCGCAATAGGCACGTGCCGCTGCCCGCGCCGCTGCCCGCGCCGCTGCGGGTGACGAGGCAAGAGACGTGCGTACACGTGTCAGCGCGTAACCGCACAGCCACCTGCCGCCCCGGGGCCTGTAGCGCGACACCTCCCCGTCGCGCGCACGGCGGCAGGCACAGCGCCCGCCACACAGAACGGTCCGAGCAGCACGCCCCCCGCCCGCCCGAGCACGCCTTTTGTTCTTCGCGTCTCTGTCGCCTTCTCCTCCCCCTCCTCCTGTCCGTGTCGCTTGACTTTTGTTTGACCGTGAGTTACACTTATTTATTCAAGCAGGAAAAACTCGTTTTTTTTTTTTTCTCACCGTTAATAAGTGTGGACAAAGAGAGAGAATATTGGATTATCCTCTGAAGCCTGCCCTGGTCAGATGACATCGTGACGCCATGCTCTTTGAGAATCCAGTCAGCGGTATAAATGGGTACACCGCAGTTAGTTGATCAGCAGGTCACACGTGGTGGGGTAAAGTGTGGGTACTCACACCTCTGGCCAGTGTAGAAGAGAAGGTCAACTTCCCTCTAGAGGGGCTGTCACCCTAGTAGAGGCCCTCTCACCAGCAGTGGCGTGAGCAAGAAATTGCAGGGCTGCGCCTTTACCCGCCCCTCCTCAACAAGCGCATAACGACGCATCGATTCGTCATTTAAAATTGATTCGTAAGCTCAATGCATATATAACGCCAGGAGGAGTAGGCTAATGATAAGAACAAGACGGAATAAACAGAGACAAAGTGCCACCGGAGGGACGATGCAAACGAGACGGCCCAAACGAGACACACGGGAGGCGATGATTGCATCGGATCGTGACCCCAAGTCGAGACAACTCATCGACTTATCAGGGAAGGTGAATATTAGCATTCCCAGTGCTTAACCACGCTCTACAGAAGCACTACAACCTCTTCATTTACTAGCTAAGAAGAATCCATACATGCACGTGTTTAAGAAGCGATGTTCAAGGATTCTTGTCCATTGTATTCAATCAGCTCTGTGGGACCCCTGCAACCACTGCAGGTGCTACATCCACCACGAGGTCAAACGACAAAAGTCAATCGATCCTTGAATGGAAATGCGTTCCCGAATTTTAGCAACTCATGGAATCGCGACGGCGGGCGATATGCTTACGTGCTGTTTGCTTGGCACGATGCGGTGCCGCCAACACCAGAAACCCGCGCCCGTCCCGTGTGCCCGACGTCGCCACACGTACCTTGCTGGCAAGGAGCGCCTCCACGCGCGCCACCTCCGCCACGTAATCCTGCACCTTGAGCTTGAGCTGCTCGCGCTGCTGCAGCGCGTCCTCCAGCTCGTGGTTCACCGTCTGCCGTGGTCCGGCGCGAGAGGAGGCAAGAGACGGGAGGGGGAGGAACGGAGGACGGAACACAACGCGTTAACAGTAAGCAGTTTTAATTTATTAGCCACTATGTGGGATTGTTATTACAAAGTACAGTAATTGTCAGGGCTTCTTTCTGCTAGCTAGCAGCACCCAGTTCAGTTTTGGTCATGTGTCTCTCTCTTTGGTTGACCCTACCCATCAGGTTACTGACAAGGTAACCTGGTTGCGTGGAGGAGGCCCTAGGCCGAGGCCTCCTGGCTGGAGCAGACCGACAGCTGTTGTCAAGAGTTTCTACAAATGGGAAAGGAGTTCGTGATCAAAATGACCCTCTTTGCATGCTCGACAAATGCTGCGACGTGACTTCAATGCAGTACAGCAAAATAAGGCACGGCAATTTAACTGTGCACACACGAGGAGGTGGGGGTGGAGGTGGGGGTGGGGGGCAGCACCTGGTTCTCGCGCGTCATGGTGACCAGGTCATCCTGCAGGCGGTGGTTCTCGCGGACGGCCACCTCGCGGCCGTGCCCCGTTTCGCTGAGCTCGGCGCTCACCGACTCGAGCTGGCGCCGCAGCGACACCACCTCGCGCTCGCGCCCGCCCAGCGAGTCACGAGCGCGGCTGCGGGCAGGATGCACGCGCACAGACGCACGAAGGCGCGGACGCAGGTGTGAGCGCACACGCAAAGGCGCACGATGAGCATAACTGAATGTCAGCAACTCCCCATGGGACAAATGATGGCATTCTATACAATACTCTACAATAACCACAAAAAATAACAGAATTTACCCCCATTTGTCAATCCACTGCTGTATGAAGGCCTCTCCACAGAGTGGGAGTTGTTCTACCATACTTCACCACCTCTTGGTCGCCAACTACTTGTTGCACGTCATTACGTGTTAAGGCATCCCAAAGAGTGTCTCGGAGTGAGCGCGTTTAATTCACAAGCACGGCACGCAGACTCACTCGAGCGTCGACTCCAGCTCGGACGCAGTCACCCGCAGGTCTCCGATGCTCTTATCCTGTCCACACAAACGACACAAGACAACGCAAAAAACGTCAACCACCAACGCGCCCACTCCCAGACACCGCCAGTTTCCGACGCGCAGCTTGGGCGGCGAACCTCTTACGCACCGTATGAAGCCAACCGTGCTAATCGGAGGTGCGTTTCCCGGCTCCCACCTTCTGCGCGAGCCTCTCCTCCAGGACGACGATGGCCTCCGTCTTGTCGTCCACGGCCTCTTGGAGGCCATCCTTCTCGCGGTCGAGATCCGAGACGGCCGCGCGCAGCGACACCACCTCCTCGCGCAGGTTCGCGTTGTGCCGAGTCAGCTCGGCTGCCGCCCGCGGGCACGACACGCCACCCCGATTAGTCACGTCGCACCAGCACGACGCTCCCCCCATCCTCTGATAGCGAACGCCTCTTCATTATTAATCATCGTCATCGTCGTCACCAGCTAGGATCAAATCGACTCTGAAATCTACAAATATTTAAGTAATATAAGTTATATTCTTAGTTTTTTCGGTAAAGTCACGTTGAAGAGAAACAACAAAATAACAAAATATATATAAAACAATAAAAAATTCTCACGACGTTTCGACCATAACTCAAACGGTCATCATCAGGTGTGTCGGTTTGCATAAATTTATTTTGAAAACGGCATATTTATTTATATATATAAAAATAACGTTTGCGTCACGCGCAACGATTGGCTGTTTGCCAGGACTAGTCCATCTATTTTTTGAAAAGAGGAGGGGGGAGACGAAATTTGTTTTTATGTATGCTGTCTGAAAGCCACTGTAAGCGTGAACAATCAATCAAGAACTGAAATGATTTATCAAATCTTTCCAATGATTGCTAAGATAGAATCCATCTTCTCGGTTGAAATTGTCTCTGTGTTTGTATATGTGGATAGCCTCATGAACGAATCTCTCATGGAAGCCAGATGGCTTACAAAGAACCTCCGTCTTGGAAAAGTCAATGGCATGTGAGCCTACTGAATTAGAACAATGATCTGCTACGGCCGAGGTGTTGGTCCTACCGTGTTTAAGGTCTGCTTTATGTTCACGAATGCGGTCCGAGATATAACGCCATATCTCGGACCGCATTCGTGAACATAAAGCAGACCTTAAACACGGTAGGACCAACACCTCGGCCGTAGCAGATCATTGTTCTAATTCAGTAGGCTCACATGCCATTGACTTTTCCAAGCCGGAGGTTCTTTGTAAGCCATCTGGCTTCCATGAGAGATTCGTTCATGAGGCTATCCACATATACAAACACAGAGACAATTTCAACCGAGAAGATGGATTCTATCTTAGCAATCATTGGAAAGATTTGATAAATCATTTCAGTTCTTGATTGATTGTTCACGCTTACAGTGGCTTTCAGACAGCATACATAAAAACAAATTTCGTCTCCCCCCTCCTCTTTTCAAAAAATAGATGGACTAGTCCTGGCAAACAGCCAATCGTTGCGCGTGACGCAAACGTTATTTATATATATATAAATAAATAAATATGCCGTTTTCAAAATAAATTTATGCAAACCGACACACCTGATGATGACCGTTTGAGTTATGGTCGAAACGTCGTGAGAATTTTTTATTGTTTTATATATATTTTGTTATTTTGTTGTTTCTCTTCAACGTGACTTTACCGAAAAAACTAAGAATATGAATTACTGCAGTCACGAAAGCTTTAAATCAAAATTTAATATAAGTTATTTAACAATTGCTTATTTATGAACAAGATATTGACGAAAGCATTGCTGAGTCTTAAGACCCTGTTAAACAATTGTTTTATTAGTTTCTTTAGGCTTAGATGGTGGAGGTATAATGTATTTTTTACCGATATCCCTCCACCACCCAACAAATGTCTGCACACGTGACCAATCATCTGTACCTCTCAGCTCCAGGTTTCTTACCCCTCTTTTGTTTAGCACAAATCTTTATCTCTTTGGCTCGGTGAGCCAAATCTCTCGTCGGGCCACTCTCACAGCTTCCACTGGCCACATCTGGCCCGCGGGCCTCCAGTTGAGTAACCCCGACGTAAACAACGCACCCAACTGACAGCCGTAACAGCGAATTTCTTCAGTACCGATTTTGTCGTCGAGCCTGGCGCCCCGGTCCTGCGTGGACTGCAGCTCGGCGGACTTGGCAACGAGGCGGCGCTGCACCTCCGAGACGGCCTCCTCCGCTTGCTCGTTCAGAAGCCTGCGCCGCCAGCCACCGCCGCCACACCACCAAACGTTAGTGCCCTCTCCCGAGCGTCTACGAGCGATTTCACTACGCAATGTCAGCAGGGGCACCGTCGTCATCATCACCGCCACGCATGATCAATCCACCGTTGGATGAGGGCCTCCCCAACGCCGTGCAGGACGTCGGGGTTATTTTACCTTACTTCTCCACGCCGCGCCTGTCTGGGCTGATGAAGACCGGAGCATGAACAAAATATTTTGCTGTACTGCTCTCTCCTGCCCATCATAGGGTATCATAAAACACCTAACTTTGCATTGCAGATAAATGTGGTTCGGTGCAGTGCAGAATATTGTGGTCCACTGTAAAGTGCAGTGGTGCGGAGTAGAGTGCAGCACAGTGCAGTGCTGCCCCACGCTCTGCGAACCTCAGGGAGCCGAGCTCTGACTTGTGCCGCGCAAGCTCGTCCTCCCGCTCGGCCAGCCTGCGCGCCTGACCCTTGACCTCCTCCTCCAGCCCGGCCACCGAGTCCTTGAGGGCGGCGCTTCGAGCGCGCAGGTCCGAGCGCTCTCCCTCCAACTGCTCACAGACCCCGGTCGCACCCGTTGGCAGTGACCAACTAAACCCGGAATCTTCTTATCCCAATTTCCCCTAACTTTATCCCGATTGTGCTGGTCGCATTGGTGGATCGCATAAACGTTGCAGCCATTCAGAAATCTCGCAGAGCAGTGCAACTGACAATGCCAGATAACAGCTTATGGAAGTGGACACTACAGAACTACCTCCTTCTGATATCCCTTCATAGGCCTTCTAGTTAAACACAATAGGTTGGGGGGAGGGGGGGGGACAGCAGTTTCAATTGTGATTTAAATGTACAACCCCTGTACAAAATATTTTAACAGACGCTCGACACGACAGTCTCAAGTCGGGCACGGGTGTGACGCAAGCGCCACCAACTCCGCGTTAACCATGATGCCAAGCGTCGGGCGACTCTCACCGTAAGAGCGTTCGCCTCCACGTCCTCCAGCCGCTGCTCCAGCCTCGCCCGCTCGCTGATCGCCGTCTCCTGCGCAATCTGCCACGCGCACCGACGGACGGCATCGCAACACGATGGCAGATGAGAAAATGCGAAAAAAAATCAGTTTTATCTCAATTGTGCTGTCAGCGCCACGTATTGAGTGACCTCCGTTCCGCACAGCAGGGGGTGAAACTTTAACCCACTTAACTTAAGTGCAGAACTAAATTGAGATTTGTGTGTTGCGTGCAGTCGTTGGTCAAGAAACCATCCACTCACTACGGCGCTCTGGCCTCTGGACCACCCGGACACCTCATATGTGATTGGGTGCATTATGGGTGATTTGATCAGATGCAACACCCAAAGATATCCTCACATGTTTGCTACTTATCAAACATCCTTACAAACAAACGATATCAGCTGTGCCTGCACGTGCTCAAAATTTAAAGCTACAGGAGGGGCAGAGGGGTTGTGGTTTGGTTTTGCCGGGAGGGCCCGGAGTGCTTGCGGCACCTGTAGTCGCTGGCGCAGGCTGTCGCGCTCGGTCGTCATGCGTCTCAGGTCGGCGATGGCGTCGTCCCGCTCGCGCTCCACGCGCCGCAGCACGGCCTGGGCGCCCAGCCCCGCGCGCGCCGACTTGGGGCTCCGCACGGCTTCCCGGCGCAGGCGGGCGAGCTCCTCCTGGGACTGGGGAAGCACAAACGCACACGGGCACTCGCGTAAAAACAAAGAACCCCCTGCAGCCTAAGACTGTTGGAATCAATGCTGTTAGCGCCTATTAAGGGAGGCGCGTCATACACACATATATATACGCATACACACAAAAGACAAAGATCAATCGTATGCAACGATAGAGACTGTGGCAAGTGCTGTTAGCGAGCACCTATTAAGCCCGGTGCAATCCCAGTGCCAAGGTTTATACATTCTACTAGGTACTTGTTGTTTATATCCGAGTCAACCTAGGTGAGGCCTGCTACCAGTTCTGAAATTAGAAGTGGCTGGGAACCGACCTCAGGTCACCAGATTTGTAGAGCAGGGCACTACTTAACCATTACGCAACCACTCCCCATATGCGTATACACACACACAACACACGGGCCTATTGGCAAGCGCTGGCTGAGCCTTACCGCTTCGGTACCACCAACTGCCCGTAGACCAGCGGGGGGGGCGGGGGCTGGGGGGTGCCCTCTCACCTGCTGGTAGAGAGAGTTGGTCTTGTCGCGCTCGGCCGTGAGCACCTTCACGTTGCCCTGGATCTCGGCGATGTGGCGCTCGAACTTGTCCAGCATGCCCTGTAGCTCGTCGCGCTCCCGCGTCACCTGCACCAGCCTGGACTCGTAGGTGCCGCCCTGCCGGGGCAACACCGCGCGGCGCCGTTCACTTTCACGCAGAACCCGGACTCCACAGGTGGCTATGGCGCGCCGCCGGTAATCTGCCACCGCAGAGGCGAGGGTTGGCAGATCGCGTAAATATTGCAAAACTCCCTGCACGTGGGCGTGGAGGAGGCCAGAAGAAGGTGGTACACCAAGTGTGGATTAATCCCCATCAGTCCCATTCGTACGGGATAGTTTTGCGCCCTCGCACGTGTGGGTTTTCTTGCGGGGCCTTTCCTCCCACAAGCATGAACACTCATTAATTGGCTGAACACATCTTAATACATAGAGCACGGATAAGATCAGCTTGTGCGCAGGAGCTAGATGGATTGCTACATCGCGTGACCACGAGAGAGAGATGGGACGGATCAAGGCTGCTGACGGCAACGACGACGACCGTGGCCTTAACGACCGATGGCGGCCTCGAGGCCCGCAATGGCCGCGTCCCCACCCAGCGCCAACCTTGACGGGGGAGGTGCGGCTTGGGCTGCGGTGGCGCGTGGGGCTCGAGGCGCCGGCCCGCAGCAGTGCCGCCAGGCGGTCCGCCTCGGCGCGGAAGTGGTCCCTCTCCTCCTCGAGCGTGCGAACGAACGAGTCGAGGCGCGACGGCGACACGCGCTCCTTGCCGCCGCCGCCGTTGCGTCGCTTCAGCCGCTCCACCTCCAACACCAGCTCGCGCTCTGCGCAGGAGCCAGTGCCAAAGGAAAACCACGGCAAAGTGGCGGGGGTGGGGGAGAGTAAGTAACAAATGTTAGAATGCCGAGGAAGAGTATTGGTGATTGCTGTTAGCAGTCATGGTGCAAGCTGTGACTTTCAGGATTGCAGGTTTAAAAGCCGCTTACATTTTTAGAAGGCATGTATTTTTAATGCATCTGTGAAAACATGAATAGGTACTTGCTAGCAACACTGGCAAGGGGGTTGGAAGTGGTCCACGGATTGACTCATTGCAGTAACTACAACTTAGGGTAGTTTTCATTTTGGAAAATCTTTTTTATTGTTGCACGGCGGTTCACGATAGTTTGTTGAGGATTGACAATGGTCCGTGTCTCCATAAAATTCGGGACCCATTAGTCTGGAAGGCTACACGTGGAACCTTCGACTTTGCATTTGTGTGGCGCAGCAGTCAGGGCCTGTGCAGCGATCCCCGAGGCCTGGTGAGCTCAGAGTGTGGCGACGTGCCAGTGACGGTGAGCTTGTTGAGCCGGTTGCTGAGCCGCTGCTTCTCGTCCTGCGCCGAGTCGAGCAGCTCAGAGAGCCGGCGGCTTTCGGTGGCGCGAGACTCCAGCTCCACGCGCAGCCTCACCACCTCCGCCTCCGCCTCGCCCGACTCCTGGAGCCGCACACGCACGCACACGCGTGTACACCGCGTCCTCAACGTACTGGGCTAATTCAGGGGTGGGGTTCCCCCCGGGAGATCAGTTTCCTTAACAAAACCCCGTTATTTCCATGTCATGCGTATTTGAAACTCGCGTATCTTTTGTTAAGCTTACGGATCTCAGCTTAGCAACTTTATCTTCATATGCTTCAACTTCTCTCTGCAGACGCTTGTTTTCAGACTGCAACGAGAGAGCACGATTCATGTTACAACAAATAAAGCCAACTCGGCGCGTTGAATGTTCGACAGTATTTGGATTCGATGGGGACAATCGCCATTAAAACCCCCAGGGTAAGTTCAAGACGGGGACTGCATGTACAAGAGTGTTTCAAGTTTAGATCGCTTAACTCGGTGAGAACTCAAGAGTCTAGGAAAGTCTCATCTGCAAGAGTGGAATGGGTCACCAAAATGAAAAGATTTAAACAAATAAAAATCGGAACAAAAACATTATTACGTGAGGAATTGAGAATATTGCAAATCTAATTCCCTGCAGCAAACATAATTCCCAAGAGTGAGTTTGAGGCAAGGCTAGGGTTGTGCTTGTGAGCGGTAGATTTAAGCTAGGGTGCATTTGCGACTGTTAAGATGCTGGGAAGGGTTTGCAAGTTTTAGAGATGAAGGCGAGGACATGTTTGCAATCATTGCACACTGATCATAGTGGACGATAAGATCGATACTGGGATGTGTTTGCAACGGTTTTATGCTGGGATGGAGTTGCAAGTATTCAAGATCAAGGTTGGGTATGTATGAAAACACTTCTCTGCAACCGGGGTGCATTCATCGGCGTAAGAAGGTCGGTGCCAGCGTGGGCTTGTGGCTGTGGGGTCATGGTCGTCAAATCGAGGCTGGAGGCAGCATTCGCAAGTTACGGCGCAAGTCGCGAGTTGCGTTAACTCCCTTGCCTGATATACGAGAGGTCGTGGGTTCAATCCAAACCCTGACGCCTGCTGTATATTTGGAGTTTGCATGTTCTCACTGTGGCCATGTGGATTTTTCTCCGTGTCCTCCAGTTTTTCCCTCCGCGTTTAGAGTATATGGCTGCTATAAATGTCCATACAATAAGCCACTTGGTTGAGTTATTATACGTGGCCAGGTGGCTTCTGAAAAAGAGCTACACAGCTCAGTGGGGCCTTTCCCGGCAAAATAAAACTTGTGATTTAGTTTAAGTCGAGCGGGTGTCGGCGGCGCGCGGAGCAACCTTGGCGGTGTCGAGCTCTCGGCGAGCGGAGAGCAGCGTGGAGTCGCGCTCGCGCTCCATCTGCTGCGCGAGCGCGTCGATGTCGGTGAGTTCGCGGCACAGCTCCTCGTTGCGCACGCTCAGCTCCGCCGCCTCGCACTCCTTGCTGTGCTCGCGCTCCGAGAGGCGCGACGTGCGCTCCTGCAGGTCGCGGTTCGCCTGCTGCAGGTACTCCACCTGCGACGCGCCGTCGGCAAATAGATTTTTGGTAAATTGTTTTCTTTTCCCACCCCCCGCCCCCCCCCCTCTAATTGTAGTCCAAGTGCACCAATTGCATCGTGTCATGAGGAAGAAGAATCGTGTATACGCATGGAATACAGGCGACCCCCGGCACCTATGAACGGTCGCAAGTCGAGCTGCCGTAAGTCGAATCCTTATTTTCCAATGTTATACATTGGGTTCCCGTTCCTGGAAACCCATTTGCATACCATAAACAGACCAAAATTGACCACGAAAATAAATGAAAATAACCCTAACATTTATAGTAACTTAACATAACTTTCACAAACATGTATTAAGTAAAGACAAACACTTACAGTACCTTTCTGCACATGCATCACATTTCCTCTTCTAAGACGTAGCAAAAGGCGAAAGTTCTTCGAAATTTTATGAAAATGTACAAAAGAAGTGAAGAGCGTTGAGAAAGAGACGCTCTCGGCGCAGTTGCAGACTGTCAGGCTCGACTTTGTGAGTCGCGGGTCACCTCTATGTAATCTATTCTCAACATGGGTTTGTCCTTGGAATTATTGAATTGGGGTTACTTATGTTAAGTTTCAAGTTGCACAACAAGATGATGGCACATGGGCAGGCAGGCAGGCAGACATGGTCAGACACACAGAGAAGATCAAGCTAATGCATTAATGCTCTCGACTTTAGTTGGAAGGCATTAAAAACGTTAATCTGGCAAACGCTGCACCACCTTGCGCCAGGGAAAAGCTCAAGACCAAACGTTTCTTGAAGGCGCTGCACTATGCCTTGCAGCTTTACTCTGCTGTGCATGCAAAGGCTTGGCGGGGGGTGATTGTGGTTGCGGAGGTGGTTGGAGGTTAATCACGGCAGGCTCACCTGCAGGTTGAGGTGAGATATGAGCTTCTCGTTGCTGCGGTTCTTGGCTTCGAGGGAGACGACATCGTGCGGAAGCCCCCCGCTGAGCGTGCGTCCCAGACGATCGATCTCGCGGTCTCTCTCCTCCACCTCCACGTGTAAACACAGAGATTCCACGCTTACATGGTGAATCAGGATATTATTTAAGTCTGAGTTGAATCTTGACTTAAAGGTTTCGTGACTCCAGGAATTCATATTCTTTGGGTCTTTCGGCAAAGTCACGTAGATAGGTTCAAAGAAAATAACAAAACATAACAAAAAGCTATTTTCATTTAACCTATGTGACTTTACCGAAAGACCCAAAGAATAAGCCTGAGTTAATTTAGGGATGGCCCAGATCTTGTTCAGACACCCACGTGTCACTGATGCGATACACATACACACGACAACAGCCGCCATTCATCACTAAGCAATGGTGAAATTAGCACGGCGCTTGTGTCTGGCGAGGTGCCCCTTCACGCCAAGTGAAATGGCAAATGCTCGCCAGCAGGAGATTCACGGGGACAGATCCTAATGTTATTGGATAACTGATTCGGGCGACTTTCAGATATAGCATCCACACTTCCCACTTCCTTTTTGGTCTAGCTGGGAGACACACACAAAGATCGCCCCTGTAGCCTTAAGCAGGCTGCTAGGGTGCCACTTGGGGTGGGTGTATTTGTGTGTCTCCCCCCAGTGGGGTGGGTGGTCAACACCACGCCAGGCCGCCACACTGCACAAGGTACTCAGTTGAGGCTGAGTTGGCCTAGGGGTGGCAAAGTCGGATCACCAGGTCCGTAGCACAGTGTGCTAACCACTACGCTACCACTCCCCACACAAGGGTCACACACACGAACATATGAACATGCACCAAACACATTAAAATCAACTGTACATGCACAAATCAATCGCAAGTGCCCATATTGCATGCACATACACAACCATATAAACTTTTTTCTTCCTGATGGCGAACGCTTGCGTTGTGATCGAAACCTCGAAGTTTTTTGTTATTTTTTGTTATTTTCTTTGAACCTATCTACGTGACTTTACCGAAAGACCCAAGAAAAGACTATTTCTGTTGAAAGTGAAATCTGTGCAAATGTTTTCTTAATCATCAGCCATGATAAATCTACTGCTAGATTAATGCCTTCTGAAGTCGTCACCGGCACTCATGGGTAACAATGCACCTAGCACGTGCACACGAGCTAATATCCTGGCTCCATCTCCATGGTCGACGCATCCCTTGGGAGAAAAACATTTTAAAACAGGCCACCATGTCGACACACGTTGGGTCTTTAGCTCCGTGCCACTGCAAAGTCCTGGCGTGGAGGTGGAAGGCACCCGTTTGCAACTTCTTGGGGAGCCCTCTCATCCAGACAAACTCGGCTCTATCTCCGGGGCCATTAAACGCTGAAATGACCTGTCCCATGCCAGCCGTTACCGGCACAAAGCGGCGTCTCCATGGAGACCAGCCGGCAATGCCCACAACTCACAGGCCCGGCCCATGTCCCACTAACCGGGGAGGAATCCCTGCAAAATGCAGATGGGCGGAACGTCTCGTGTGAGGAATCTCGGATGGATGCATCTCAGACCGGCACGCAGCATGCATTTGCATACCTTCTTTGAGCCTATGAGCAAGCCACCCGGGAATGTGCACAACCTCGTCAGCTATCAGAAGCTAAGCAGAGTAAAGGCTGTAGAGTGTGTGGGTTGGTGACCGCAGCGCTTTATAAAGCAAGCGTTGTAGGCGCCTGGGGAGCTACATTGTCAGCAGACGGTGGTGTTGTACTGCAGTATGCTCCAACGACTGTGCTCCCCATCTTCATCAACCCGCACTGATCGGCGTGGTGAAGTATGGTTAAATACCTCCCCCCACGACCAATACGGCGCGAAGAGACCCTCGTCCAGCAGCGGATTGACAACAGGGCGGCATCGATGGCATCACACGCATTGTAATCTCACAGCGTGCTGCAGGGTTGTCATGGTAACCAGCGTGCCCTCGCAAATCACAGCCACCGGTTGCAGGGCAATTTGCTTATCTAAATAACATCTTGTTGTTCGCCGAGTCCCACGCGCACGTCATGTCGAAACTTGTCGGGAGAAACTTCTGCACAGAGCCGGAAGCTGTGGCCCCAAGCCGTACCCATGGAGACTGGCTTTCCTTGCGCGAAGGCATCTCCATCTGACCGTGAAACGGGCGGCCGGAGCCAAGCACGGCGGTCGCTCCACCTCCTCAGCTTGCCGAGGGCTCTCCTGGCCAGGGGCAAAGCGTCCCGGCAAAGCCCACCAAACAAGCCCACATAATCCCCTAGTCCACGGGAACCACGGCAGGGGCTGACCCACCTGTCCTCGTAAAGCAAACTTTAGCGGTAGCGTTTTGCCTATAAGCCCATTTTTTTTTAAAGTATTGGTTACGATCATAGTCGCCGTCGACGCATTATTTAAAAGCATCATCATGATAAATATCGTTTAGCATCACTATCGACCTTTGTTGAGCGGGAGGTCGCTCATTCTCCCCTGCTGCCCTCCGCTGTCTGGAACTCCCTTCCCACAGTCGTCCACGCTGTCAACTCCCTGCCACTGTTTAAGTTCAGACCCAAGATCTTCTTCTGCTCTGCTGCAATAAACTAACTTGCCTCTCTCTCTAAAAAACGGCAATTCTATCTGTGCCGTGTATGGTGATGCAATCGCATTTAGGCAGTGCTAAATAAACCCATTCATATAATCAAACATGATCACTTACATCATGAATTATTCATACATATAATGATCATCATCAAACAGCAATAGCATACTAAAACATAATTATTCACATTATCAGGCATTCATATCATTATCATCGCTGAGCATCATTCTGAATGTCATTAAGCATGATCTTTAACATCATAATCATCATCAGATTCAGCATCCACCTCTGTCATTCCAATCATCATCATCATCATTAAATATCCTGGGTCGATAAAACAACCACTTTCCGTTAAAGCCTCACTCCGTGGAAAGCAGTGAATAGTTTACGATAGTCCTTGCTGAACTTTCACCCTACAGGGGTTGAGTCGCCATTCAATTTACAGTCTTTCTCCCATTGTCCATTCATAAAAAAGATCCCCAAAATAGCCAGCACAGACTGTTGGGGCAGGTGCTGTTAGCGAGCACCTATGAAGGGCAGAACGGCACACGATGGGGTGGGTGGCCAACACCAAGCCCTGCCGCCTTTGTCTCCCTAGCGGCAATGTTTACACCGCAAAAGGTACTCATTTTAGGCTGAGTCTACCTTGGGGAGGCCCAGGACCGGTTAAGATAATAGTCACTGACGTTGGCCGGAAACAGGAATCGAACTCGGGTCGTCAGGATCGCAGCGCAGCGCACTAACCGCTGCGCCACCGCTCTCCATACAGCACATGCACGGCCACAGGTATTGTATGCACGCTCCATACACAGAGCTTGACCTCAAACGGGTCTGTCTGAATATATTTTCACACCCGGCACACCACATCTGCCATACATACCTCTCGTTATGGCTGCTCAGTTAAGCTAAATGTAACTGAGCAGCTCCCAATCTCAATTGTATAGCGTATAACAATTAATAGTCGGTTAGACGAAGACATTATATGCCAATAATGGAAAGAAGCTTCCCAGCACGTGGAAGAGATTCGTCGGACATCAAAGCCGAACGGACCACTGAGTGCAATTTTACAACAAACCATCGAGTGAGTTCCTCCAAGAAGCTCCCAAGCAAGCGGAAGCGAAACGTCGGGCTTCAAATCCTAACGGCACGCGGTACCACCCGAGCCGGTGTCGCGGTGCGGCGCCCCCCTGCGCCCCTTCCCCGTGCCGTGCGTTACCGGAGGTCGCACCCCGGACGCGCTCCTGTGCCGCCGGGAAGAAGACATCGCAGCGCCGGGCTCCTCCTAAAGCACTCCCTCGGGTCGCCTGCTCGATCGCGCCGTGCACACTTCCTAGTTGCTGCTGCAGCACGGCAAGAGGCCGAAGCTCGAGAGGAGGTGCGGGGGGAGGGGGGTGAGCCTCAAGGCGGCGGCGGTGGTGGATTTGCGGCGACCGTGATTGAAGCGCGATCTAGCTATGAATGGGGCGGTAGACACGCGTGGTGAGTGTGTGTGAGAGTGTGTGTGTCTGTGTGTGCGCGCGTGTCGACGTGAGTGTGCCTGCGTGTGCATGTATACGCCTGTGAGCGCGTTCACTATTGTGCGAGTGCTTCTGTGTACTTCTTGTGTGCATGCGTGTGCGTCAGTACTGTACGCACGCTATATGAATGAGTTGCGGGCCTAAATGTAAGTGTACTCCTACGCGTGGGGTTTCACCACCACACCACCACTCATCATGAGCCGCGTTCGCTAACAGCACTTGCACCAAATCTACATAGACTGTAGAGTGCACGGATGATCTCTGCCTTTCTTTGTCTCTGTGTGAATTCCTTTGCTCCTGTCCGCGTGTCTTTTACGTAGCAAGTGTGCCTCTACGTGCGCTGTGCGTGCGCACGCGAGGAGTCGGTGTGCAACTCTGCGCGCGCGTCTCTCTCTCTGTACGAGTGTGTGTCTGTTCCTGTACATGCGTGTGTGTGAATGCGTGTGCATCTGAGCGAGAAGGATGGATGAAACGGGGGAGGGTTGAAGAGGGGGGGGACGCTAGTTGCCCTGAGAGCGGCGTGCTTAGAAACGGCTGTCCCAACACGTGCGCACACGCGCGCGTGGGTTCGTGTGTGCCGTTGTTATCAGCGCGGCTGTCAGCCCCAACCGTGCAAGTACATGCGTGTGTGTGTGTCGGGGAGTGCGGTGGGGAGCGGTGGTGTAAGTGGGGAGCGGTGGTGTAAGTGGGGAGCGGTGCTGTAAGTGGTGAGCGGACCTGGCGGGCGAACCCGAGTTAGATTCCCGATCTCGGCCAACACCAAGTAACGGATTATATGAATCGGTGCCGAGCCCTCCCCTAGGTCGAATCAGCCTCAAACGAGGGCCTGGTGCGATGTGTACACATCGGCACCGGGGAGACAGAGGCGGCCTGGCGTGGTGCTGGCCACCCACCCACCCCCTCGTGTGCGTTGCAGGTATTGGCTAACGGTGAATATTTCTCTATTCGTGTCTCAGTGTACGCGTGCTGTTTACTTTCCTCGCGTCCGTTGCCCCTGTTGCAACCCTCGCCTCGTTGCGCGTGCCCGCCCGCGTACGACTCAATGGTGTTCGCTCACGATACGCAGTACCCGAGCTCAAGTACTCGGGCCGGGGTCAGTCAAGGTAGTTATAGCGGTCTACCGGTCAGCGGCGCTCCCCACGCTGTGTCCGGCGACCACGCCACCGGCGGTTACAAAGTGGACGTTAAAGACCCACGTGGCCGGTAGGTGGCAGTAACCACGGTGGACTGACTCTGTACCGAGCCCCTCGGTCTCGCGGTGGAAATTCCACGTTACTATAGACTTGACGGGCGGCAAGTTCATCGGCGAAGATAACCGCCGCTGCTGTTGTTGCTTTTTTCCCCGACAAAGTGGTACTCAATTTTATCGGCCGCTCCCCCGCCCGAGTCCGCGCTACTACCAGTGTCAAGCCCCGAGGCTGCGGAATTAAATCACCGACCGTGCAACGCATGTGAACGGTGCAACGCATGTGAACGGTGCAACGCATGTGAACGGTGCAACGCATGTGAACGGTGCAACGCATGTGAACGGTGCAACGCATGTGAACGGTGCAACGCATGTGAACGGTGCAACGCATGTGAACGGTGCAACGCATGTGAACGGTGCAACGCATGTGAACGGTGCAACGCATGTGAACGGTGCAACGCATGTGAACGGTGCAACGCATGTGAACGGTGCAATAAAATAACTGTGCTGTTCCGCTAAAATTAGCGTGGACAGCCATCCTCAAGCCACTCGACAGATCGAGTTTATCACTTGCGAAAGCGATAGTCAATAAAAACCAAGGTTTCTCGTTTTTTTCATATTTGGTGATGCTCCGTTGGCAGCGGAGCGTGGAATCGTAGATATAACTATAATGGTTCCTTGCCTAAACGTCGCCAGAGCAGATAGTGATACCACAGGGATAGTAAAACTTTAGTCGTACCGATGTATATGTATGGCCAATTTAGAGTGAATTATATTTCGTGATCACTCCACTAATTACAAATGGCTTTCAGTTAAGTCACTGTTATTGACCACAGAGAAATTGGAACCACTCAAGTTATGCCACCTCTGGCTGCACTGTACCGAAAAGTGAAACATCTGGTTTGGGCTCATGGACGAGATGAAGGCCATTGTTTAAATTCACTTCCACTTGCGAGTAAATTAACTTCAATCAAAAACGGCGACTGATTGGGGGGGGTCTATTGAGCACAGATGGCAGGTCATGACCAGGGAACACGAGGGGGGTCACATGCCAAGGGATGTGACCCTGCTGCCTAGTGGCACGAGCAAGTCGACCACATCGACTCAAATACAAATGGGCCTCATGCTATGTTGGTGCGAGTTGATGCTATGCAATACTCACACGGTTCTCGCTCAGTTACTGTGAATTCCCCAAACACCTGAATTCCATTGCTTCAAGCAGACTCACACAGAGACCCATAGACTCACACAGAGACCCATAGACTCACACAGAGACCCATAGACTCACACAGAGACCCATAGACTCACACAGAGACCCATAGACTCACACAGAGACCCATAGACTCACACAGAGACCCATAGACTCACACAGAGACCAATAGACTCACACAGAGACCCATAGACTCACACAGAGACCCATAGACTCACACAGAGACCCATAGACTCACACAGAGACCCATAGACTCACAGAGCACGTTCACTGTTCTGCGAGCGCTTCTATGTACTACTTGTATGTATGCGTGTGCGTCAGTATTGTACGCACGCTATATGAATGAGTTGCGGGCCTAAATGTAAGTGTACTCCTAGGCGTGGGGTTTCACCACACCACCACTCATCGTGCGCCGCGTTCGCTAAGAGACCCATATCCTCACTCAGAGACCCATTTCCTCACTCGGAGACCCATAGACTCACGCAGAGACCCACAGAATCGGAGTGTAGACACAGTGGGCATGTTTCTCTGTTAATGTCCCAAACACCTGGGACCCCACCACAATCGCAGTTTGATGCCGAGCCCTAGATTATTTATGACTTCACTTGCATTTTACATCATATATCCTCGTCTGTTTACATATTAGTTCAAGTCACCCTATATCTGTTTCATGTTTCTGTAAATGAATCAGTGAAAAATATACACCAGGCCAACTTGCGCAGTAGGCAATTTAATATTTAACATTGATTTAACATAGATTTTTGTTTGCGTCAATGTTGTACTTTGTTTTTTTTGTAATTTTCTCTTTTGTCATTTTAGTAACCCACGTAACTCTTGAAAATACGTCTCTACTGGTCTCTTGGTGCTCACCTGGTTAAACAAAATAAACTTAAACTTGTAACATGCACTATGTGAGAAACACACGCATCCCATCTCACACAAGAAATAATCGTACACTCTGGTGCCTGTTCAGCTCTGACTCAGATGCAGGAAAGTTCCTGTTACATCATCAATCGCAGCGCCACGTCGCCTTGAACATTGTTCTCCTTAGGTTCACACAATCCGGGTGTTGCAATTGTTAGTGCACTCAAAATCACGATCAGAAGGATCAAAATTCAACCTTGTTGGGTTTGACTCAGCCCGTCATTTCTCGTGGATTGATAAAAACAAATACCACTTTGTGGGAAGTTAACAGTGGTTGTCAAACAGATTACTCACTCCATTGTAGGATTGCTATGAACTTGACGACATGAGTTTGATTCCAGGCCACAGCTAACAATGAGTGGTGAGTGGTATCTGAACTGGTCTTTGGCCCCCACCCTTCACCAACGCATGCAGTGAAGTATGGTCAAACAAACCCCATGGACAACTCAGCGTGGGCAGGCCTTCATCCAGCAGTGGATTAACAAAGGCTCAAACTTATCAGCATTCTGGGATTTCCCCCAATTGCTCAGGGCTACAAGATTAATGTATCCCATGATAATTTGAAATAGTATCCAGTCATTTTTGAGGTCCATGCAGGTTTTACATTATGAACAACACTGTCCACAACATTTATCAGAGTGTTCAGGTTGCATAGCAGACCGCTTTGAGGGTCTAGGAAACGCCCCACGCAACCAGGGGATATAATTAGCCATCATCGTTAATCCGCCCCAGACGTCACGCGTGCGTCCGAGGTCAGGCCCTACGCTGCTCGATGAAGGCAATCGCTTGGAACCACTCATCGCAAATGCTGACAGCACACGCCATTAACCGTGAGCACATGCGAGATAATTGCTCACCGAGTCCCATCGGAAAACAAAGCGGCGTGGACCACTGTGGTTGAAAATAAATGATGCCCAGGACATCGTTTCAGCTGGGCATGTCTGGGTCAGCAACCTGGAAATATTTCCGCACCTGGCACACAACATCCAGTATACCACTTGCTATGGCTGTGGCTACTAGTCATGTGCCACCTACTCCAGTAAACCAATGAGCAGGATTTTTTTTCAGTAAGGAATTAAAGCCCTCACTTCACCTGCTTATCTGTCTCTCTGTATAAATCAAAGCATAATAATGCAAGCATAAAATAATTGCTTCTATTAAAACCCGTGAACAAACTCGTAGAAATGAATGTGTGACTATGCATTACTCTGAAGAAAGTACTACAGCTCGTGATGGTCAGCTCACAATACCACATGTTGACAATACAATAAACAGCAATGTGGATTATGGGCCAAATTTTCACAATGACACAATGGCTAAAACACATTAATTCACATTAAGCTGCAGTTTGTTTCATTCTACAAATGATGCACGACATCTCATGCTATCTCATCCAACTTTTGTTACTCCTGTTTGCAACCCATTTGCACATTACCAAGCCATGTTGAACACCCACGCACAACCTAAGTTTATTTTCACTCTGCTGCAGACTACGTTAAACAACGCAACATGGACAACAAAATTGCTTTAAAAACCTTTATCGCTATGAAACTACACTGTTTAACGTCAGCGTTTAGTGAATTTCTCCATTGTTTATGATGGAGTCGTCGGTGAAATTCTGCCAAACATGTGCCAACGTGTGAATGTGACTTTATGTGTTTCTGGAACTAACAAGCACTTGCCCTTACGGTCGTGCAAGGCTAGAATGGGGGTGAATAGCTGTGCAAGGAACATAAGCAAAAGCGTTAAACGACATGTGGTTCATGCTGGCTGCTGCTCTGGGCACGTAACACTCACCTGCTTCCTGAGGGTTTTCAATCCCAGCTCAGATCTCTCCAACTCATCCTTGAGCCTCTGCACCTCCCGCTCTTGTTCCTCCAACCTACAGAACGATGCGCACCAGGTCAGACGCTTTTGCGATGTCCTTGCGGGGGTTAAGAAACGTATTATACTTGCCGCGGTGGAAGATCGGACCGGCGACCTCTCAATTGCAAGTCCAGTGTTGCTAACCGTGTCACCATGGCATCACACCCCTGCACTAAATCGAGGTTAATATCTCCCTTCACTGGCCCGGCCACTTCGAACCTGCCACACTCACCTTGTGCTGGTGAGCTGCACAATGTCGACCACGTAGGGGTCGTGTGGCTGGGCTACGGGTGGAGCCGACAGGACCGAGGGAGGCACCATCTCGTCGATCTGCATGCGCTGCCGGTGGAATGGGATGCTGCGCTGCTTTCCGCCTACGGGAACACGAACGACCGGGGAGTTGGGACTGCTGTCCTCAGGTCTGACGTGAATCACGGGGTAACCATCGTTCTGAACCCCACTGCAGTCATTCTGCTAGAAGACTTTGCAACAAGCTGTCTGCATCACTTGTGGATGAATATCGAGATTTCCTGTTAAACTTTAGAAATGTAAAAAATAAAATTGGGCTATATTAATAAATAAATCTCGCTTGCTTTTATAAATTATTTTTGTTGTTCATATATTTTGCTGTCCAGGCTTTGTGCACTGTCAATGTACTTGAGGGTTATATTCTTAGCTCTTTTATTATTTTATTGTTTCCCTTCAACGTGACTTTACCAAAAGAGCTAAGAATATGAATTACTGCAGTCACGAAAGCTTTAAATCAAAATACTTGAGGGTTACTTTTCAAATGAATCCATTTTCATCTATCATCATTACAGAGTGCCTTCCCGTCATATATTCCTAACGTTAACCTTTTCCTAGATCTTAAAAAATATATATTCTCTTTTTAAAGATGATCAAACCACATTCTTCCTGGTCTTTCACATGGTATTTTATCATTAATTCTACGTTAAATAATAATTCTGCGCTCCAAAAGACTTGTCAGTTACAATCATGACAGCCTTATTCAATGGCTTTAGGAACATAGCAAGAAACTTTAACTCGTTAAAACCACGGCTTAATTTCATCCAGACCTGTCAGGTAATTTATCCAGAATTTTTTTACGAACACGGCACACCACATCCATTAGATGTCTCACTGTGTGCTAGTTATCTACATGCCCAGGTGTCCAAATTGTGCGATTAATGCTGAGTCGTTGCAATCTTCTTGATTTAGTCCTCACGCTGCAGTCCTGTCTCTATGCCGAGTCCAGTCTAGCAGTCCTCGTTTAAACGTAACCTTGACTAAAAAGTAATTCACAATGTGTGGATTACAGCAGAAGTCCCTGCTGCATAGTAGGTGGGCTTTGACAGGACTCTTCAGGCGAAGGGATGACAGCCCATCAGCAAGAACAAACACTGGAGTGGCAACCAAAGGAGGCAACGCACCCAAGAGAACGTCCATCACGGGGATATAGATATGAGATTGACTCATGCGCCGATACTGGGTGGACTGCTGCATCTCAGGACCAAGCGGGATGACTGACTTGGGAATGATGTCATCCAGCAATGGATTGAAGATGATCATGTGCTGCACCTCCGATTGGAACGGTTGGCTATGTACGGTGCGAAAGAAGTTCAACAGACATACCGGGAGTTTGCACAACAGCCTGCATGTTCTTCTCTTGAAGCGTGGCGATGCGATCAGACTTGGCCCTGCCCTCCTTCTCGAGTGAGCGCACCTTGTGGACATACTGATTGTTCAGGAACTTCAGGTCAGCGTTCTCGTGCTCCAGCCGTCGAATTGTCCCTTTCAGATCTGGCACACAGGACGCACGCAAAACACATAAAATTTTATACAGAGGAATGAAATATCGTCGTGGTATGTTAACCAGGCATGGTGGTGCACACCTGTGAGCCAGCACATTGGAAGCAAGGGATGGTGGATTATACTAATTTAAGGCAAAATGTGACGTATGTGATGATGCTATGCATGATAATCCATAAAAGGCAAAAGATGTGGATTTGGCACACTCAATTGTGAAAACTTAATTTAAGTTTATTTTTACACGGTAAAACAAACTCACATTATTATTTTATTACCGGATATTGCCTGTGCAGGCTTATAATCCATGTAACGATAATATCACCTTGCATAATTGTCGACTGAATGTTAGTCGTGGGCCACGACTGGCCCGTGGGCTGTATGAAATGAAGTAAGGGATCGTATCGGGCCTGTGTATCTATGTAG